AATATATAACGGAAAATTAAGTAAATATAACAATTATGATAAAAAAAAGTGAAGTTAAAACATTAAAGTTAATTAATATTAAAAAAAAAAATTAACAATTGAAAAAAGTTAAAAATCAATAGCCGATTCTCATTGGCCATTAACATTAAACGCTGAATAGGCTCAATTTATATAAAATTGCTTGAACATAAAGGGACAAGGAAATGAAMATTAGAATGATTACAATGAGGAGACATTGAAGTTGAGTAAGGATAATTAATTGGATGAATCGACTTGACCAGTCCCTATTATACACATAAATATATATATATWATATATAGGTATTTATGTATACCACAAATCTTCAATAAGGAATAAAGATTGGCATAAAAAGTCCACGAATACATAAATTTAATACTTTTGTAAAATTACTGTTTATAGATGATTTCATTAAGTAGGCACCTACATATATATATATATAGGTAAGTGTATCCGTATTAAAAATTTAACTGTAAATGTTTTGTATCAATATGGATCGCAAAATTGTATATTCCAATTAATCGCAATCACYAATAGGCATTGGGGAGAGTTGAGTGAATAGGTAAAATTGGGTAATACGAGCCAAACAATAAATAATAAATTGATAAAAATCAAAACATCAGTCCTCAAACATTATGTAAACTAGTTTAACTCTCTGAATTAAATGTTAAAGAGGGGCTTAATATTAGGAAAATGCTAAAATTTTAGGCAGTCAGCATATTATAAGAGTTAATATTTTATTCATCTTAAACTAATAAATCTCACATTAATTCTAAGGTATTAAGTTTAAAAAAAAAATAGTACTGACATACCTTTATACGTAATAATTTACAAAATTAAATATTGGATTTTTTACTGGACTTTTATTCTTCAACTTTCAAGGCAGAGTACTATTACAACAAATTAGGTAAATTTAAGATCACTTATAAAATTAGATGATTATCACAACTTTCAAATTTATTTTCAATAAATAAATTATAGTTTAAAAAATAAAAGTTTCTAATCTATTAGATTAATTATCTATTGTTAATACATTTTGCATTTATATATCTAATAATTAAAACAAATTTCACCTATATCTGCTTTTTAATTATACACCCATTGCTTAGTATTAATATTTAATAAATGGCATAACTATAAAAATTGAATCTACCATGATAAGATAATTTGTTTTTAAATTTTTTTATCTTAAATTAAATAAATTATGCAGTCAAATTTATTTTTAATAAACTCACAGTTGTAGGCAAAGTTATGTCTTTGTTATTTTCAGATAAAACTTGTTTTTTTGATACAAATGAATATGGCACATCAAACTCATCTTCGTCTTCAGGTTTTTCATTCCATCGTCTATCTTCATCCTCAACTCCCTAAAAAGCAGTAATAAGAACTAAATAAAATGTTGATATTTTGATTGTGTAAAAAATGTTATAAGTAAATAGAAATATTTATATTTTGCTTTGTAAGATATAGTTATTGAAAACTTTATTAATGTGAATAAATTATAATTACAGTAGGTATTGTGATATCGTCATTGTGATCGGTTTGAATGCACTGGACACTGTTGTTATCAGCAAGCACTACATCCATACTGACAGTTTCATTTCTTCGGAAAGTATAAGAGACATTTGATGTATCTTCCTCTTCATAATATTGTTCATCATATTCATCATCATAATCTGGACACTCGGATTTTATGCTAATATCATTTCCATAAGGTACATGAGATTCATATACAGAATCATGTTCATATTCGTCCTCTTCCATCATTTCAGGCTTAACTACTCTTGATACATTAATTGGAGGAGGATCATATTCATCAATATTTTCCTAAAAAATAATATAAATTATTGTAAAAATGTAATAATAACTAACMTAACATTTATGATATAAAATAATATTTACTTCAATAGGCTCTCTTTTGATTTTTTTCCGCAAACTTTGTATRTCAAATTCATTCATCTCATTTGGCTAAAAAATAAAATGATGCAATTTTAATATTAGAAATTTATTAATCAAAAAATAAAAACTTACTAATTTATCAACCTGTCCAGGTGGATTTACATTTCCTTTGCCACGTCTGAATCTTAACACCACTGATCGGCTATCAATAACCAAATTATATTTTTCTTTATACGCTTGTATTGCATCTTCCGCATTGGAAAATTTAATAAATGCATATCTAATAGAAATTGAAGTTTTAAATAATTTATTACTTATACTAGTAACATAAATATGGCATAAGCAAGGGTATGAGGGTGTTACCTCTTCACATTATAAAATTTAATMTATTTCTTGAACCTAACATGAACAAAATTATAATTAAAATACTAATGGTAAATTTTATTTAGAAGAATATTTAGTATTAAAATGTAGATTAAGTATTTCATGAAAATTTAAATTTGTAACATACAAAAAAAAAATCAGAATTTGTTATTTTTGAAATTATTTCAATGCTTTTGGTTAAGAAACATATTATTTTTTTTTTAACATTTGATAGAGGCTTATGAAATATAAAAAGAAAAAAGTAAATCTGCCACTAGTTTATACACAAAATATATTTGATTTTGGTAGTATAATAAGGGTTTAGAAATTACCTTGTATACTTCATTTTTTTAGCAAATMCAATGTCAACTCGAGTGGCTTTTGGAAATTCATCTTTAACAGCATTAGATGTGATATTTGTTGGCAAATTTCCAAGATATAATCTGAAATAAAAGATAATTTTATGATCCAAATTATAATAACAATATTTCATATCAATATTAATTTTTATACACAACTTGTAGAAATTGTATAAAAAGAACTATTTAAGTATATATACATAAATCAACAGGTATACATATACATATAACAAACATTTTCTAAAGAATTTGTTTAAGTATAAAAACATGATAATTTTACAAAGRCATTTTAGCAATATTAATGATCTCTATTAAACAAATCTGTATTTTATTTAAACCAAAGAAATTTCCAAATAATATCAAATTTTAGTTTTTAATAACCAAAGGTACTTACGTATATGGATCAATGCACTCTGGAAAAGCTTTTTCTTCAAACTGACTCTCTTTAATTTCTACTCTTAATTTTTCATGTTGGAAAAAAGTTTCATTAAGTGCATTTGCAACATTTTCGATATTTGCACTTGGTTGTACTTGCACATAACAATATCTAAACAAATATAAAAAAGTTTCTCTTTTAAGTTTTTACCAAATTAATCTTTTATTTTTAAATCAAAGTACAAAAATTTAATTTAATTGAAAATTGCTGTTCGAGTTACTTACCTCGGGTTACATGGCGTATGGAAATGTACAGATTTTATGTCAGTATGAAAGTTCTGAACAATTTGCCGCGTAATTTCATGATCTGGAAATCTGATCATAATTTGTTGGTTGTTTTTAGGTGTTCGAAGTTCCATTTCAGCAGCAATTGCTTTWACAGCATCTTCACGATTCCATGGTTTTTGAGCACGCTGTGGTTCTCCAGATTGTTGTGATTTTAATTTGCGCTTCCGTGTTTTACATTCAGTCACAGCATTCGTTTCCTAAAATTAAAAATGAATTAGTAATAACTTAATAAAAAAAATATAAATATYCTATAAAATAATTTTTTGAACCTCTAGACAAAATAATTTAAAATAAAAGCTATATAAAACACAATTTTAAGTATATAAATTCTAAGCTCAAACCTGATTAGTTCCATTTGATTGATTTTGAACAGAACTACGAGGTCTGTTCATACGCATATGTTGTCTTGGTATGAATCGAGGTCTTTGACTAAATTGAGGCCAGTTTTGTGTCGACGATGATGATGGTGTTTGTGGGTTTTGTGGAGAATTAGCAAAGAAATTCCCATTCTGTAAAAGATAATAAGTAGAGAACAGTAGGTATAATAAAATTTAATATATATATATATTATAATAAAATTCCCATTAACATACAGCACTTTGAGAGAACTGTCTTGGATAATTATTTCTTGGAGTATTCCCATACTGATAAGGTGTTCGTTGACGTGCACTATTGTTGAACGACCTCCAACGAGGCAAGGGTGATCTTATAGTACTGTTACTAGATGCACTGAACGTAGGAGCATTGTTATTGCATGTTGTAGTGTTTGTGACGGTAGCTTTGGGCTGTGGCGCAGGACTGGGTATACGGAATTGTRCTTGCCATGAATTGGGAAAAGCTTGTTGTGGCCAGAACCCATGGGGATGTGTTGGTGGTGGAGACGTGAAATCCGTCTGCAAGTGTATTTGGTTGTTGTGTGGTGGAGGCTGTTGTGCCACATAACCAGGAAGAACTTGTCTCGGTGGACTCACAATAGCCGGTTTGTCAATTGACTGGTTTTCCACTAATAAAACAAAAGATATACATATTCAATTTCTGTACATTAGAGTTTTTCGCGTGTTTCAGGTGCAGTATGTAAGAATGCTCACTCGTAATTGCTTATCAAAAGCTTTTCGTAGACATTACAACGATTCGTAAAAGACCAAGAAAGACATCAAAAGAAGTAGTAGGTACTGCGTTAGTGCGTTTCAAATACTGAAAAAGTAAAAACATTAATCGATAAATTGGTACGAACAGTGAACACCACAAAAGTATGAACTAAGTACCTACACAGTACTGTACACATACTGACATACATACAAATACACAGTATACATACTACTTACAACACCAATTACAATAACACAAGTTACTTTGGCGCAGCTTGTCACTCCTTTATAGTGGCAGACTGTGGATAAATGTGATAACAGTCCATGTTTCGGGAAACAATCTGGCAACGGTGTAAATACAATTTTGTTGTGTTGATAGCGTTCTTTGATGATAAAAAAAGAAGCATTTCGTCAATTTGTTTACGTTTAATTTTTTTTTCAATTTTTCACTCTTTCATTTCACCGTTTACCGAGGTARATAATTATTTTTGTTTTTCGATGTTTCGAGTTACATTACAATACCAATATACTGTAATTCACTCTGTGATGTTTCACAGGCTTCAATGAATGTGGCGAACCCTCCGTGTCTTGTCTGTACAAAAGTGACAGAAATACTTATGTTTTAGTCGACGCAATTCGCCGGCTCGGTATAATGGACTTGGTGTACTCAATATTTCGGAAACAAGCTTGGAAAACACAATTCCAAAATGAACAAATGGAGGAGGATATGTGTTTCAAATGTCTGGCCAAGATCTCTGCCAATAATATCGTTGCCTGGGTAACCACATTCGATCTAGACGATCATGTTAACATAAACTGGGGTTCACATGTTTACATAGCCGATCTCAATGTGCCGTGGAAGTACCATAAAATCACATCAAATAATTGTACTGTCACGACTCTAGAATGGGACATGTATGGCTATTCATTGTTAATCGGAGATAAAAATGGAGCAGTGTCAATATGGACTTGCAGTACTGATCACAACCTTACCAACTGGGTACAGGTCGGTTCAAAAGATTTTCGTGGTGAACCTATTATAGCCGGCACGTTTTTCCATTTGGGAAAAAAATTAATGCTTGTCAATGAAAAAGCTGATAATATTAACTATTTTGAAAAATTCAACTATGTCAGGTTTACACCATCTTTACGAACATGGGGTGGCACTGGATTACCTGGATGTTTAGTTGTGTCTGCTACAGGTATGATTGCTGCTCTGTTAACTAATGACAGTGGGGAGCCTATGATTTCAGCTACAAACAGTTTGGCTGTTGCTAGATATTGTATATCTGTTGTTGACATCAGTTATCGACAAAATGGAAATTTTTTGATTGTCACATCTGATGGACGCCCMCGATCGCCAATACATTGTTATGAAGTCTCAGTAAAACTTGTTAATGAAAAAAGTTGTACTATAGTATCACAGTGGCTACCTAGCTTTTTTTTAACATTTAACGAAACAGTGGATAGAGTTATTTCTCATGTAAAATTTTTACTGCGAGAAGGTTCTGAGTCCCTTGTAATTGGAAGTAATAGCAGTAATGGATGTATTATAGAAACATGGGAATTAGTTAAAAAAACCAATCCAATTAATAAAGTATTTAAAAAAGTCATTACTGAAGATCATCCTACTGTGTGTTGGATTAAAAAAAGCTCATTTACTGTTGGAGCTCAATTAACAGCGTTGGCTACACCCAAAATGTCTATATCCTACAATCAATCTTCTTGCAGTCAATATGTTGTAGCTGCATTTAGTAATCATCAAGTATGCTGTTTATCCAGAGAACTAACTCAACAATGTTTGTTTGAATTGAGTAGCTATTGTGAAGATAACATTGGGAAAATAGGCTTACAGCATAGTAGCAATATTCAGTTTTCAGATTTGGACATTTCTTACCTTGGAAATGTGTTTGTTGTTTGTGACAACATGGGCAATTTATATTTATTTCAACTACTTTCCGTGGCAGAACTGAATGGGCCGCTAACTGTTGCCTATGCCACATTACAACTTGAATATTGTTTGGTTACTGGCTTGGATTGGTGGGATTTGGCCATCTCGTTAAGACCTAACATGTTAGAGGCTGTGTGCAATCGCTTTAGTGAAAACTTCCAAAAACAATCTCAGGTACTTCAACAAAAAGAGTACACTACCTATTTGAGTATTCGTTCTTTTCTATACAAAATGATGCCGGGAGCACAAGGAAAGCGTTCTGACTTAATGCATTTAATGACATTACATTCCATATGCAATGCATTCAAAAATGTTTTACGTGTCAGTGACATCATGGTTGATCGGGATCCAGCTGAAAATATATCAAATGCGCTTAAAGAACCTATTGTGGACATAGACAAAATTTTACCAAGCTTGGGTGGTAAAGACTTTACTGTAGAACCTAGCACCCTTCAATCACTCCATCAACTTATTCAATGGGTAGCACAGCTCGCTTTAAATGTAGTTTCCAGAATACCAGAACCACGGGACAATGTTGGATACAACTTATTAAATGATTTGTATGCCATAAATTCAATAAGAGAACTATTACTCATGATTCGTATATGGGGTCTGTTAAGGCCTAATTGTTTACCTGTTTTTATAAAAAATATTGACAATTTAGATGTTTTGTCTGTCACATTCCGTTTACTTTCCCGATTTGTTCAACTAGGTGGTGAACATGATGAAATGTTGTTTGATGAATGCTATACACTTCAAAGCCAGGTTAATATAACTCCACTTTCATCAGTCGCTGCAGGAATTCATGAAGTTGCATCTCCTGCTCTTTACTACCAGCATTTACCATTGAAGTTGGTTTTTGGACAAGAACCAGATTGTTTGAGATATAATACATCTTCCATAGATACAATAACAAATGGGAAACAACAATCAGACTACATGAAGGATTATGATGTCATAAGGAATGTATACATTGGTAAATGTCCACTAATTGTGAAGCAGTGTAATAGATGTGAAGGTAAAATGCAGTTGGTAGGAAATTCAAGAACAGCAGCCATTAGAGTGTGGGAAAATAGGTGGGCAAGAAATTGCCGATGTGGTGGCAGGTGGAGGACAGTCAAGGTAGGTGGGCAATAGCCTGTAAGTTTAATAATAGACAATTATATTATTACTATAATTATTATTATAAAATCTAAAATTCAGTAATCATTATTTATACGATTTGTGTCCAAAAAAGTCATTTAATTTTAATAWTTTTAATGATTATCACTTTATCAATTAGATAAATCTGTTTTATATAAAATTTATTATTTAATTATATTTTGTTAAATTTTCTATAATACCGTGTATTTGATAATAAATAATAAATCAAATTGTATTCTTATACCAAACAGATAATATCATCAAGGTCAAGAAGATTTTATACAAACCATTAGTATAAGGTAATCTTTCAAATTTTATTTTGATCTCTGAAATGTTAGTTAAATATAATTAATTTTAGAACAGTTCAATGATGTATTTACTATTACAATAYCTTATGATAATTAATTTATCGTTCATATTAAAATATACGATAACTTGTAATAAATGAAAGTTTCTTATGTTTAATATTGTTATCTTGATYACACTTACACGGTTAAGTATATTCTAATTTATAAACAAATCAACAGTACTGTATATAGCTGCTGGAAAATAATTATGCTAATTTGTAAGTACACATTTATATGTTCAACTGTCTTTTTTTGTTATGTATTTTTGTTTGTAAATTATTTGAAAAAAAAAACCTTTGTTTATTTTATTTAAACAACTATTTAATAAATGTAATAAACATTACAATGTTTCTATCAATYTTTGGGTATTTCATTTTTAGACTTATTATTTAAGTCATTAGTGATTTCAGTTTTTGAAGTTTGTCCTGAATAGTCTGTAGCCAAATATGTCATTAAATCTGTCAATCCTTCAAATTCTGTACGTGAATTGTGAACAGTAGGAGTTAGTCTTGGAAGAAATGAACCTATTTTCAATCTAAACTCGTGCATCTGTCAAATTAAAATACAATCATATTATAGTATGTGGATGTTTAAATGTGATTATTTATACCAGATTAATTATACATTAATACATAATATATTAATATTGAGATATATTAAATTATAAAATTGTTGTAATATACTAACTGAAMAGTATATAAACCTATTTATTTATAAAAATAATCCATAGCCAAGTCTATTCAATTCATRATACTGAGGTATGTACATCCATATGCAATGAGATGTGATCGCAAAGTTTTTAGTTTAAAGAGGGCTTACATAGGGAATCYTATCCCTGGCTTATGAAAAAAAAATTGTTAACATTTGATTACCATACCTCATATTTTGTAGAAAATTAAATAGGTATTATAATTCAATATAATTTTAGACCTCTACTTCATATTTGGTCCAAATAATCCAAATAATTGTATTAAAAATTTGTGCAATTTCATTTAACGGATTAAAGCGATAAATTCACAGGAATTTAATTTGTCACAGGCAATGCCGCKCAGGATAAACTGGTTTAGAATACCGAAAAGTTTTGAATTTACATCTTATCCTTGAAAATATACGATATGAATGAGTAGAATTGATTTTGTATTTTTTGTAAGTTTTAAGAGCATTATGTTGTAAATGTATGTTTGATTGAGTAAAAAAACTATTCACTAGTGTCTAGTTCTGGTGCAAAACCCAACTTACAGATGTTCAAACAATAGTAATAATGGGTTGGCTGGTTCTAGCTGCTATAAGTATACTGTACCTTATTTAAAATTGCTGTAAAGTATATACTGGAGGCATAAGTGATTATTTTTAGAGTTTGGTGCTTACTAAATACTTACTAATGTGTTATAATAAAATAATGTTTGTTTTAAATACTTAAATTAAAATATTGACAGTATATAAAATAAGACATAGGTAAGTAGGTATTAAATTTAAAACAAGCTTACCATAACAAATAGTAATAATGTTTACAAAATAAAACATATACTATGGGACTACCGATTACATTTGCTTTTAATAGTTTATTCAACTTAAATTCATAATAGACTTGAAATTGAAAAAATATACATTATGAGTTATTTAATTTACAAGATATCTTAGTTTATCTTTATTTGATTCATTAAATTTAATATATACATATATGTATTAAATTTATAACTACTTCCAATTTACAGAGGAGTTATAGAGATAGAAAGTTATAAATAAAGTCATAGGCGTGTCTAGACCTTTGACGTAGAGAGTGCAACCTAGTGCGTACCCATGGGGCTAATGGGCCCTAGCCCACTTTTTTGAATAGTTTTTCTTAATAATTCATGGTGCCACTTGAAATTGCAGAGGGTGCAGGTGCATACCCTGCACCCCCCGTGGATACGCCTATGAATAAAGTTTCATACTATCTATACTTTATTTTGTTGGTAGCATCCGAAATGGGTTCCAAATTAAAAATTGTTATACTAGTTGGGTCTGGGATTTTCACAGGTACAACACTATTTGGATCCTTTTTTTTAAAAGTACTGCCACCACTACATTATATCATTTTAACGGATTTAGGACTATCTATGATATATTTAGACCTTAGGTATGGTTAAATATTAAAATTGTTATCAATCAAATATATAAACACATAAGTATAATAAATAAAAATAAAATATTGCTTAAAAAAATCACATGCATTAAAATGTATAAAATATTAATTTTACAAGATCAAATCGATTAATTATTCTGGATTTTTTTCATTTATTTTGTCTTTTATAATTTTTTCTCTTCTTAAGATAATAATTTTTTTTTATTTAATTTTTTTTGAGCTTCTCATTTTGATTTATGTATTGATAATCTTTGATAATTGGGCACTGACATATTTCGTATAGAAAAATATCAAAAAAGTAATAACTAAAAATATAGCTAATTGATGTCAATGACAATATTTTTCATTTGGATTATATATTTACTTAAAATATTTTATTACTTACTTAAAATAATCCTGGACACAATAGTGTAGTACCTGCGACTTAACTCTAGTACTCAGGACCCAACTCGAATGCACCGATTTTTGTTATAGCATTCAATAAAGATAATCCCAATTATACAAGATAAGTATTATTTTCATAATCAAATTTATAAACAAACTAATAACTATAAAATATATTTAATGGTCATAGGCATGCCTAGATACTCCCAGACAATGCTCCCKAGACCCCAATTATTAATTCACAATGGATTGGTTCATTTTCAATATTTTATTGTTTCTAATATTTTGTATGTAAATGCAGTGGAACCTTGATATAAGTAACACTATTACATATTATTGGCTTAAGTTTCTGTATATTGACYTTTTTAGTCTCAATCATTTATTCTTACGTTATACATTACCTCTGTAACTCAAAGTATGGATATAAACAATTATTTTTATTAATTTTTTGAGACTGAGATACCGAGGTTTCACTGTAATTGTATTACCTAAAGAATTTAGTTTTTGAAGYTTTACCTAAAATGGATTTTTAAAATATAAAAAGTATAAAGCTAATGATAAATAAGTGTTGATTAAATTTGCCTATTTTTGGAAATAGTCTCYATGGAAACTAAGTTGACTTTCTATAAATATTGAAAATTGAATGAAAAGAGTGAAGTATGATGCCACAGAACATACATTAAGTATCTACATAATTGTTTTAATTGTATTAAAATACTATATAGATTACTACTGTATATATTTCTTTTTAGTTATTATATAATATACATAATAYAACATTTACTTAACTATAATAGTTGTATTAAAAAAGATACTTGCATCATTAGCACCGGTCATTTTCCAAACACCGTAAAAAAACAGTCCACAGCCACCAACAGCATAGAATGTTCCCCATTTYAGTGCTCTAATGGCCAATTGTACACCTGATTCAGCAGTGGGTAGCAAAGGAGCTTGTCCCTTGGAAAACATGGTGGGATCTGTTTTTCTAGCTGATGCCAGGGTTGACGCAAATGCGAATAAACCCGCACCAGCAGCAACACACGTTAAGAACGCAGCTGATGCTAAAATTGAGATAATATCATATTCATGGATGTTTAACGAACTACATATGAATATGAGGTATTAGCCAATTATTAATGTAATTTAATAATAATAATACCTATAGTATCACTTGATGTTTTTGAGGCCATTGGTAATTTATTCGTCTCATTTTCTTCTTTACTTACATCAACCATTAAAAAGCGTATTTGCTATTTAATAGGGAAAACTAGTCAAAAATCAAAATAATATAATATAATTATTTAAAATACCTAAAACCAAACGATTAAAAGTATAAATCATACATACTAGGTACATAGGTCATAAATTATTAGCTTAAGATATTAGGCATTAGCTAAAACCGGCATTTTGAACAATTTCTTATCATGTTATAAAATAAAATAATGATAAAACTTTTTTAAGTTTTAGAACTTATCAGTTTGGTCGTATAAGGTATAACAACAGGACATTCTAACGGTTCGAATTTTCTAACCAGAACGGCCTCTTAAAACACTAAATTTATAGTATTTATACAATAGCATAATACATAGTATTTATACATTTCTAGTTCCAGTAGTTCTTACTGTTAAATAAACTGTTCCTAAGRATTTATTAAATTAATTTTATTTTATATTATAAAGCTATAAACTATCACTTGACAATAATATCTATATCTAAAATAAATTACCATTAGACTAATATTTCATCGATTTCGTGGTTGTTTATTTTAATTTGTATTTTAAATCAGTGCTRTTTTATATATTTGTATACCCTTGTTAAATCTTTTAAGTTATATATTTATAAGGTTTCATTTCTATTATCACAGTGATACAGTATGCAGTAAATCGGTAATCATTCTTCTTTTAATCATTTAACCATATATTTTAGAAATGTATGTACAACTTTTGGTTTTATAGTAGTATAAAATATGATAACAATAATAAACAAGCTACTGTTTAAATTGTTTTTCAATTTTTTAGTTCCAAATGATCGCCATYAAAATTCTACCCTATACAATTTTACTCCGTGAAAGTAGGCAGATATATACATAGAAATGACAGTAATATTGACTCTTACAAGGGGCCACAATAACAATAATACATTTTAGATTTTGAGGGAGCTATGAACGTTTTGGTTTTATAATAATTTTTTTTTTTATTTATAAAGAGAGTTTATTAAACGAAAAAAATGATTTTATTTTCAATATTATAATATTGACTGTATTTGATAGAAAGTCGTAAYTTTTATATTTGAATACCTAAAGTATGAAATTACGAACTCGACGGTGATTTGATACCACCRAAACCCCAGTTTCAAATTTGAAAATTGGATCATGTTTACTAATAAAAATAGTAATGACGGACATACACACACACAAAAATAATAATAATATCGTATAATTTTAAAATCATTACCTTTATGATTAATTGCTTTGACCAAACTCTATATTATTATACAGCAGAGGTGCAAAGCTACTTCCCTGATTTTTAACATTTTCGGGATAAAAATCAACAAGAAATAATTTACACACAGATCTATGGTATCAGGTATCTGTCTCATTTTATATTAGTAATTTTAAGACCCTTTCTTTAATTTTTAAAATAATTAATTGGCAATCTTATTTGCAATTTTAAATTTTCAGAGAAGCCTTCAGAACAAGTTTTATTAATAAGCAAATATTCTTTGATTAATTAATACAGAYTTTTTTTATTTCAAAATAATGTAAGCAAATTTACAAAGCGAACTTAATTTATACATTCATTTGRCCATGGATCAAGTGTTATAAGAACTCTGAACTAAACAAATATCTTATTAAATTAGGTCTCAAAAGATAATTTTAGAACCTACTGATACTCAACAATTGACTATTACATAATATTTGTATATTTACGAAACGAATTTCTATTTTAACAATAACGAAGGTAAACAAAATTACCCATTAATTAGTAATGAATTTTTKTAACACCATAAAAAGATTTTAAATATTATCATTTGCTAAATATTGTTTTAAAAATAATTTATATTTAAAAATTCGACAGGTTGATTTTAATATGTATAATTTAATAAATGTGATTTTGGGACCAAATTAAAGACCCTATAAATATAGGTTAATTGGTAAAAATATGTATGTTTTATTTATTGCTCCGGTTATTCAGATAAGGGAGTGAGGATTGTTTAATAAAGCATCCAGTCCCAAATATCTAATCTACGTAAAAGGAAGTTTTTTTAAGTAAAATAAAATAATTAATGCAGTTGAATGTTATTTTATCTTATATAAAAATATTTAATGGGTATAAAATATTAGTTTTGTATCGAATTGAGTTTTGAAGAGGTTTTAAATACAGTCTTTTTTTGTATAAAAGATTGGAAATTACGTTCATAGATGGATCCATTCACTGAACATTGTGTTAATATAACAAATAAATATTATAATATTATTAACAAATTAAATTAAAATATTTTATTATGTAGATAATTCACTAAGAATTTTTATAATTTTTATATGTGCACTAAAAAGTAAATTCATACTTAGGTGTATATATACGTATACTATAAACACTAGAACACTAATGTGTATTTATTTTTTTTAGATTTTGGCGTAGAGACGAGGTGAAAGTTCAAATACACTGGACGTGCTACTCTTGCCAACGTATTACCTAACATATAATGGTTTGTTTCTGTGATATTGCTGTACAGGTGTAATATTTAGATCCTTCGAGTTAGTATGCATCATGCATGTGATGTCTTTAGAGGTGTTTTCGCGTTGCGCCCACTACGCTGTCTTGTAGAAAATTCAGTTATCTTTTTCATGCGTCCCAATTTGTTAGCATGTTCAATCAACAATGAAAACCAAACGTGAGTATATTATACGCTTATTACCTATATTATTAATACATATATATATTATTTTTTTAAAGGCTCCTAGCTTAGATTAATTTTAAGGTTTTTTTTATTTATAAATTTATTTTCAAGTTTTTTATGTTTATATTGTAAAAATAAATACTCATGAAACGTTTTGTAAGTTATAAATTATCTGTGTAAAACATTTTTTTATATTCAGAAATTTCGCAACGATAAATAATAATCAGGCCACAGGCTGAAATATGTTTTGTTTTATATTTTGGATCATTACAAATACAATAAATGAGGAGGTCGTAAATTCTGTTAGGTCACAACAAAATAATATTTGAATGATGGGGTTTGTAGATATTAATGTGTTAACTAATATACATTTACATATATTAAACATAGTATATACAATAATATATTAATATATATTATCATTATGTACAGTGTGCTTATAGCTTATGTATAATATATCGGTCGCTATAGCTATAAAATATATAAGTACTATAATTATGTTGGAATTTGTCGAAACGGGATAGGACAGATTTAATATTATCATTAGCTAGGTATACTACTTGTGATATATATTATTCATAAAATATTAAGCGTTGCTTAATTTAATATTTTAAAGTTAGTATATTAAGACAAACTAATAATTACAATATTAATGAATAATTAATAATAGAAAACGTAAATATATTATTTACTCTTTTTATAACTTTTTTTCATAAGATTATCCATACAAAAAGGAAATAATAATAGATTATGAATTATAATGGAGTACACTGAGTCCATATGTAATTAAAAACAGTCATTATAAATAATTAAATACTGTTTCGATATCGATTTTTATATATAGAAATACTAAATAAAATTTTGATTAAGGATTTCAAATTAAGAATTGATATTATTCTTCAAAAAAGAAAAACCTTTCAAAATGATTCAGAGAAAAAAATGGTTTTTAAAATGCATCAAATTTTGTAAAAATAATATCATCAAAATAAAGAGTTTGACATTTAGAATAGAATTTCACGTGTATACGTACCATTATAAAATTGTTACTCAAAACAATGACGTATAATATATATTAATAATTATTAATTTAAAAAACCGGGAGTTTATCGTAGATTTTATGTCATTTTATCGTCATTGTGTCGGTCATTGAATTGGTTAAATGTTAAAGTTATATCCATTTAAATATCTAATTTCGTCAAAATGCAAACTTGAAATATTTAAAAAAAATTGACTATGTAGGTACCTAGGTACTTAAAATTTTTTTAAMTTAAGACAGYAATAATAGCTGGGAAATCTACTCTGCAGTAAGTATATAATAATTTCGAATATATTTAACCACCTCATTATTGAGTAATGGATAAGTTACAAGCTTTAACTTTTATTCGAATTTGATGATAAATCGATTCCAAACGAATAAAATGGATAGATTAGCAATGATTATTATTATTTTATAAATTCAGTACCTAGGCTGGAATAATTTTTGCCAAACATATCGCATTTAGTTAGAAGTCAATACGAACTACGTACAAAATATAGTGTAAATAGGTTTCTGGTGTAAATTACATAAAATTAGTCTAAATAAAACTAAAAACAATTGAAACCAATATTATTTGTTAAGATTTTCAAAAATTGTGGTAACCGGCTTATCTGAATATTCAAAACAATTTTGATTTGTGTAAGAACAACTCATAAGAAACATTGTATAAACATTTTCAAGTCTGAAGTTATAGGTCATTTTATGAAATACGTAGGTACATAATATATATACACAATATCTAAATGTTTAGTAATACTTAGTTTAAATATAAATATAGAATACTTGGATAAAATTATGGTGTCTAGAACATAAATTAAAATATAAAATATAAAATATAATTCTAAATTGTAATTTTATTACGGATAGGTAGTAGGTACTAATTTATATCATATATTTATTAATATTATCATATTAATTATATTATTTGTGTATAATGCGCATTCGAGTTATTTTAATATTAAATTTTAACAACCTATAATTTTAGCGCAATCGCTTCAAGCTCTCAGCTATTACCATTATAGTGCTTGTACCTATATAATATTAACATTATATTTCACGATTCCTACAGACGCTTCCGAAACACGTTCATGGTTTCAAACCCATGTGAAAATCCTTATTCAGCRTCTCATTGACTGGCTTCCATATTATATTGTATCATAATGGTTTTCTGTTAATGGTTAGCAACGGGATCACACATACGTGTCATCGAGGTTTATGGTTTCAAGTTTTAATGCACGATCTCGCTAATAGCTCACGTGTCTGACAATCTGATAATCGTTTATTGTTTTTTGGATATCGATAGATACCCGGTATAATTATGGCGCCGTAGCCCGTAGTGGAGTTGTGGACAAGTTTTAGCTAGTATACAGACTGTATAGTGACTCCGTCATCATTATCATTGTCGCCAGCGTATAGTACTGCTGTACCTACAGACACACTGACCTTCATTCCCGTTCTAAAGCGCAGTATACGCACTGCAGTTTAAAGTTCTTAGTTGTTCACAAAATAGAATGTGTGTGTGTCATCAACGGACAACTATTCATCATTCGTCTGACGTTTATTTTCATTCAAATACTTCAAAATTACGTAAATTTATTAAACGACGATCTGCACATGATGCGCATCGCACAATATAATATTGATTAAATAAATAAAATTAAATAAAAAAATTAAAATCATTTCACAATACTCAATCACTACGATATAATAATCGTGTGGGTAAAACCAGATCACTCCGTTCAATGATTCACCTAGAGAACTCCGTCATCGTATGTGCGATGCATTTCCCCGAAAAATGTTTTAAAATCAGTGACGTGTCGCGTGTATACAATAATTATTATAATAATTGTTATAATGCACGAGTTGGTGACATAATAATTCAGCTGGTACGGTTCTTCTTCGCCGCCGTAGCAATGCCTGGTGAAATCCTCCGAAACCGGATTCGTTAAAAAAATCGTTCTTCACACGTTTGAGAGTCACAACACGCATAATACATACATATAAGCACACACAGACCGACACGGATATGCAGGTTGCGCCTAAGAAGACGTCTGCAATATTCTGGTATGTGCGACGTGCGTACTCTGATAATATAATATAATATACATAATTATTATGCCTTGCGTAACGAATTTCTTGTATTATAATATTAGACGGGATTACTCGGGATCGGCAACCGGGAACTGGCGTTATGTTATAGAAATCGGGGAAATCTTTCAACGGGACACGCCGTCGCGGTACCTCATCATCGTGTAAAACAAAACGACAGGAGATTAACGAAAAAAAAAGCTGATTCGAATCTGCGACTGTCTGTTACAGCCATAATAATATTAATGCGTATATATACTTCGCTATATTGTATACGTTAAGAAATCGACAATAATCATCAATGATATAATAATATGCAGCTTACTAAACGTATCGGAACAGGATTTTGACGTGTAATACGCGCCGTGCTGCAGGAAATGTGCTAACTGCGCGCAAATCGTTGGATTGAAATAATAATGATACCTGCTGTAATTTTTATTTTTTCGGGATTATCTTTTGTGCCCAAATCAAATGTAACTTTCAGCACGATCTTCACGATGACGGTGATGTATTATAATCTTACCTATTATTATACGCGGAGACGTTTGTAGACATAAATAGCATGCACAAATTCGTAGTCTTTATTTATATTATATATCTCAAGTTCACTGAATAAGCCAATCTATCCGACGATTTGAATTATAATGTGTGACCTAAAAACCCACGATAATATTATACATCTGTATATAACATCTAGGGAGCGGTATTTTTTACATACACACGATGCACACTCGTACACATTGTTTTTGGCGTGAGAAAGAATCGCGTAATAATTCACAGTTATAATTGATATTATATTTTTACTATTATTAATATGTATAATATAATATTATTACGTGGTCGCGTTCGCGTGAAGACGACGATGGCGGTGGCAATGACTGATGCAGCCATCAGTTTTGACGACTTCGGCCTTGACTCAGTAAAATCTTTTTGTGATTGACGAGACGAACTAAAGGCGAAAGTTCTTTTATTAATTATAYATTAGAATAATAATAATAAAAACAAACATTGCATTGTATGCGTTCCCTGGGTGTATATTTACGAACGTTACAATATTATAATGAATAGACGATGCATATATGTATGTATATACTACTATGTATAATGTATATATTATATTAATATACGCACCAACGCACGTCCAGTAAATATTGTATAAGTAATGTATGTTACTATGTATTATAAATTTATATTTACGATTGGATCACCCAGTGAATTAGATAGCGCAACCCTATAATAAACATATGTTGCGTTCTGCCACCTATTGTCCGATGGGCGATGKATTAATGCGTACTGTAACGGTTGTTCAATTTTTTAATTGTTGCAGTTAATTAGCTTTTAGATTTTGAGCAGACCGAGATACCTATATATTATATTATAAGTTTTTACTTAAAATAAATATAAACGTCGATCATCCATTTTGAAACAAATTTATTTTGAGTAGGCCAGGCTTAGATAGAGTATTAAATTATTATTTTTAAACTAAAAGTAAAGCTTGTACTCACAAATATTTTCATAAAAGATTCTTATTTATTGTATTTAATTCTTGTTTATAATGTTTCATGATATAATATGACTGTTTTCTGCTGCAGGTATATAATTTTTTTTCTTTATTATAGTTAAGCATTAACTACAAAGGTTGTTAGATTTAACAAGAGTATAACGGTTTACATTATATTATGT